TTCCGGAGTTCCAAAAATTATACGGTAAACGGAAATAATTCGACGTATGATATATATCGGAATTTTTATTATTATACAAGTTTTCGCGTGATACAAAAATTCTGTGCCTTTTCCTCTTAATCTATAAGTCGAGGTCGGTGTAAAAGTGCAAGAATTTAAAACAAGATCGTGGTTAAGATATGAACATTAAAAACTTTAAAAACCCGTTTAAAATGAGGCAAATATTGTAAATGCGGCGGCTAGCTTTAATAAGTACCTTGCTTTAATTGAAAACTGTTATCGCAGCAAATGAATCGATATGTTTTAAAACTGTATCGATATAATAATATAATTCTTATAAGTTTTTAATTACATATATCTAAAGTAATACGATTGCCATGTTTGAGATAATATGTTACATTCAAGGTTTATTAATTGTTATAAAATATAACAGCTGGTTTTTCTGCGTTTGTCAGTTCGAGTATTTGATGTTACATATGATGTTACGTACGTGAAATGAAAATATGATTTGATAAATTAATAAATAAAATAATGATAATATTTACTTAGCTTAGAGGTTAATAAACTCTAGAATGGTATGGTTTGATTGTTTCAAACGTAAGCACAGTTCATTGTACTAAGTATGGTCGTATGTAGTCAAATTTAAAAATATCGGTACGAAGTAAATTGAATCTAGTAAATCTTTTGAGTTCAGTGGAAAAAATTTAGTACGCAATATTTAAACTGATGCTAACAATTTTTATGTTCATTATTTTACAAACCCAACATGTACGTATGTAGTTAGTTTACGTATAACTTAGGCATTGTAGTGATGTGGGCTATGGGAAGAGAGTAGGAGCGACCCGCTACCTTTGTGTTGTATGGTGAATCCATCATCATTTAATGGCGTATTCACCACACGGCTGTCACGGAGACCCGTTACCCCACTTAAAAGTGGAATTCTGACGGTTAAATCCGTAATAACGCGATTTTCTATACGCGTAATATTACATGGTACAACTGTTGTTAAACACTGGCTTTAGTATTCATTTATTTTACACGTTCAGTGTCAACGACTTGCTGTCAGTTCGCTTTTAATACGTTAAATAGTATTGGCTTTGAATGTGTTAAGTAGAAGATTACTGTTAGTACGGAAGAAACAAAGAACATCATAGCTTTTACAAACCACAATACCGCAAATGTTTTAGCTTTACTTCCCAATGATAAAGCATCTTTGTATAGTTTGCGCAATTTAAAATGGATGTCAAAGTTGAAGCAAAAGAGCAGAGTTTATTGACCCTTTGTTGTCAAAATTGCATAAAAATACGCCAACTTAAAACAATCAATTTGCTTATATAAGTTGCGTTATCTAGAAGACCACCCACTTGTTATGTAGGACTGATATTTCATAGTTTGCGTTTGGTAAACACGCTTTTCCTTTTGCGGAACAACATAAATTATTGTACGTGTTAGACTTTTTTATGTAACTAAGAACATCTTTTATTACGAAACACACAAGTTAAGGTCTTTGACTAAATTATATACTCCAAAATATGAATGAAGATATCGTTAATCTTATTGTTATCGCAGTAAATTCGAGCATACTATTCGGAAGTATTTTTCTAGGAGAATAGAGAAAATGGAAATACTTAAAAAAGCAAAGATTTCAAACGTATTCTTCAGATAGATACCTAAAATACGTCAATCTTAAACGTCTACGTTTATGAATTATACGCACGTTTAAAGATAAAGATAATCCAAGATATAATTATTAATTCTTATTTGGTTCTACGAAATCATAATTAAGTTGCACGTATTTCATGCAAGTAAAGTGACACGAATTTATTTCGTATTACATTTGACTTGCAAAGTCTTTACAGAGAAAGCCGACCACGCCAACTTTTTGCTGAATCGTACGTATGATTAAACATTAAGACATATTATGATCCAGTTCTTTACATGAAAATGAATAAACCAGTTTTGATATTTGCATACTCTGTGATGGAATGTACGCGTAAGGTATGCACAGTGTAGTTAATATTGTCTGTTAAAAATTTAAATTAATACCTTACGTGACTTTCAGGGCTTGGCGTAGGAGTTCTATCTTTTATACACTTGTAGAGTCATTAGGGTTGTAATTCTACAATAAGAATATTTAAAAATCGAACCAATTTTATAGCAACAAAACACCCTTTAAGGTGTCGGTAACTAAATAATTATAGTTGCTTTTTCATTCTTAAACTATAATTATATTATGTAAACAAATAACAATAACAATTTTTTTTAATTACGTAAAAAATTATAAATACCATTCAAGATACTAAAATAAAAATTTAAATTTTATCTTAGTTATTTATAATGCAAAAACTCACATAAATATATCGCGTTCTAAACGGTGTGACAGCAACTAACGTTGAATTGTAACTTCCTGTTACCAGTTAAACTTTAACCAAAATGCAAAACTTCCGCCTCGCGCCATACTTAACCGTACAAAGTGTCACCTAATCGGTTTAGGAGTCAAGTGCGGTCAACTTGACCTGAAGTTACATCGTTAAAACACATAACACGTGTTGATAAAGGTGGGTGAAAGTGACTGGATGTGTTTATGTTTGTGTACGTTATTGCGAAAGATTGTAATTTTCTGTGGGCATTTTATACATATTTATACCTTTTTGCATCATCGGTTTGTAATAGAATTTTAGTAATATGATTTAACTATAATAAGCTGGAGAGTTCTACGTTAAAATGGAAAATATATATCTATTGGTGTTGTCTATTTCTATTACTTAATTGAATTTTTATAGTCAAGTAATTTTAATACACATTAAAAAGCTGTAGTATACATTTTCGATGATAAATAGCAGCCCTGAATATTTCTTAATTTGAAATTTCAACGATGCTCCCAATTGCCTGCCCACGCGCTGAGCGCACGTCTCCTGACCCTCTGCCGACAATTCACAAAATTACTGTTGAGGTACCATCCGCATAATTATCTTAACTGAGCTCATCATATTTGTACTATAAGCCCTATAGTACGAATAAAGAGACCAAGAAAGATGATAAAATTATTTTACGACGTACAAGGGTAAAGAGGTTCATGTTGGAATGTTTATATGTGCTAATGCTTGCGACAGTTCTTTTTCAATTAATTCATCAAACTGATTTAATGATATCTTTCATACAAGATAGTTCGTCATGTTGTTTCTTTGCCTAGTTTGTTAATTTTGATTCATTAAGCGAGCTAACGATTAGTTTACATTAGTTGATTTCGCCCGCGACGAGATTAAATTCTTTTTTTTTTTTTTTTTTG